ATCACCAGATAGGCCGTTAGCAAAAGTTAAACAGTTTTGATGTCTATTGATTAGAGGTTGGCAACATTCAGTCTTGTGAAACCTTAAATAGACCAGCCTTTATCTTCAGAAACATCTACCTTGAGCACATATCTCACGAATGCCGAAAGTTAATTGCTGAGTTTGGTGCTGTTGAACATCAAATAAGAATTTGTTCCTCAATTCGGATGAAATTTGAATAAACAAGCGACAATGTGCCAACCATTCAACGTCCTCCTAAAAACTACAACAGTGGTCAACAACTGTAGGTCAAAATCACAGCTAGGTCTTTTGATAATTTCATTATTTTAATTTCACATATCGGACTGAGACACAGACGGACTGACCTGTGACATGTGCAGACACACAAACTAGAGCAACACACGCAAGAAACCTTTTCAACCACTTAAAAAACATCATGGCCATGAATATGATGTGGCATCCAGCATGCTGGTTTTGGTTCTGGGTGCAGGTTGCCACCTTATATTCATGGACAGCCAGCCCCAATGGAGCACGTCCCAAAAACTCACTCATATAAGTTCATTCATATAAGTTCACCGCGACCTTTACTTTTAACCACTGAAATCTAATCAGTTCATCTTTAAATCCAAATGACTCATGACGACGTGAGTTATGAGCCTGTGAAGAGAAAGTGGCCCACACGTCATCTGTTGCTACCTTTGAACAAATATGGGATTGGTTTCTCCTGTTGGTTGTGACACCAACCAATCAACACTCACTTGGAAACAATCTGGACACCAGACATGGAAAAATGCCAAAGAGAACAGTGAAGTTTAAAGCTACTGAAGCAGCAGTAGTTTGGGACGAGGCTCATTTTTCATTTGCACACTTTCCATGAGGCTTGATATCATAGTATGAAGTCATTATTCAGTCCCAGGTCAACTCAGTCCCTCTAACATTTGGAGCAAGCAGAGTGAAGACAACACTTCTATTCAAAAAATGTTTTTAAAAAATTTAATTTTGGCAGATGTCACAATTGATACATATATTCCACTATTGTTATGATTCTAAGATTTCAGTAAATCCATTTCAAGCACTAAAAAAATTCATCAACATGTGTGAAGGTGTATTTTCACAACAGACTTGAAGAATTTCTACAAATGCATTAAACTTTTTCAACTTTAGGGCCAAATTATCGCTTTGCACGATGCTCTAGCTCAAAGTTGATCCTCTGTTTGTTGAAAGCTAAGATTGTCCTGAACAAAAACGAACACGTGGGTTTCATGCTATATGTTGGTGTCAATTTAAGAAGCTTAAATTTAAGAAGACATGAATTTTTACAGTACCTACCTCACAAACCAAACAATGCTACTTACAGTGAGTTTGTAATTGTTTGTGTCCAGACAGGACTGAGGTCCCATTGTCTATTTCTAACCGGCGTGGCTGTCTTCAGACTCAGGTTCAGAAAAGTCTTCAGTCTTGAACACAGTAATGTCAATCAGGACCTGAATTCGTGGCTGGTTCTGGTCCATCAGAGTCCCCTCTGTTCTCCGCAGTCTGACTCGGATGAAGCTGTGAGGACTGACCAATACACCGATGGGCCTTTTGCTGATAAATCCAGCTAAATCTTTTGTTGCAAATGTTGCAACTGAGTGGTTTCTCTCCTGTATGAAGTCTGACGTGTATCTGCAGACTATCCTTTCGACTAAAACTTTGACCACACTCAGTGCAACTAAATGGTTTCTCTCCTGTATGAACTCTGAAATGAGCCTCCAGTTTGGCCTTATAACTAAATCTTTGTCCACAGTCAAGGCAGGTAAACGGTTGATCTCGTGCATGAATCTTTTCATGCATCTTCAGACGACTCTCACGGTCAAATTTTTTTCCACACTCAGAACAACTGAACGGTTGTTGTCGTGTATGAATCTTTTCGTGTACCCGCAGGCAGCTCTTATGATTAAATCTTTTACCGCAGTCAGAGCAACTGAACGGTTTCTCTCCTGTGTGATTCCTCATGTGTGCCTGCAGACCGGCATGATGGTGATAACTTTTACCACACTCAGAGCAGGTGAAGGGTTTCTCTCCTGTATGAGTTCTCATGTGGGATCTCAGATATTCCTTTTGACCAAATCTTTTGCCGCACTCAGAGCAACTAAATGGTTTCTCTCCTGTATGAATTGTCTCGTGTGTTTGCAGTTGACGCTTCAGCCTGAAATGTTTACCACACTCAGAGCAGCTAAACGGTTTTTCTCCTGTATGAACTGAAACATGTGTGAGCATGTCTCCCTTTATCCTAAATCTTTTCCCACACTCAGAGCAACTAAACGGTTTCTCTCCTGTATGAATTTTCACATGTGACTTCAGATGTTCCTTGAGGGTAAATCTTTTATCACACTCAGAACAACTAAATGGTTCCTCTCCAGTATGAGCTGTCATATGTGCCTTCAGATAGTACATACGACTAAATCTTTTGCCACACTCTGAGCAGTTCAATGGTTTCTTGTCAGTTGTACATCTCATACCACTTACAGGCTTAGGTTCCCTGGTCTCTATCCCATCAACATCAGAGTTCTTGGTCTTGTCCTCAGGACCTGGTTGTAAATGTACATCAGGACCAGAGTTCCTGGCTGGTTCTGGTCGTCCACAGTCCTTTCTGTTCTCTTCAGTCTGACTCTGATAAAGCTGTGAGGACTGGGGTTCCTCTTCATCTCCTTCAGGTTTAACAGTGTCAGGAGTATATGTGAACTTGATAATATCAGTCTGCTCCAGTCCTTGAAGCTGCTCTCCCTCCTGACTGATCCACAGTTCATTCTGTTCCTCTTTAATTTGTGGGGGCTCTGAGTCCTCCTGGTCCACACTGGGGCTCCAATCCTGATACCCAGAAGGAACTGCTGCCTCATTCACCTTTAGTTGCTGGACGTCTGCAGGGGAGAGTAGAGTGGGATGACATTTATTTAGTTATTTGCAGACGTAAAAAAAACACATTCAAAAGTTCAGAACCACACTCGTAAGGGAAAACTTCTACTTTGCAAAAGCATAGAACACAATCTGTGAGCATTTCTGCTCCATTTGCACAACTGCAGTTCTACGAGCCAGGAGCTGAGTCAAGCGTGAACTTGCACAACCCTACGTGCTCGCAACTCCTCAACACCACCCGACAGTTGTATCATTGAATTTTTAGACTTTGGAGGTGAGGACAATGTTGCTCCTCTCCTTTAATTGGTTACTTTGTACACTCCAGTTCCGAGCCTACCTCTGATCTTCTAACCCCTTTTCTCTTCATTTTTCTGCAGCAGTTGAAAACTTTGTGGATCATATACAACACTGCTCTCAATACAAAAAGCCTGTCTCCACCACCGCCTGAATCGGTCTATGACAATTCTATAAAGCTATAAAGCTAAAGACCCATTCATTTGAAAGCTGGTCCAGATGCCCCTGAACTGGGGCGGCCCTGTGATCGAACAAGTTCAAAAGGCAGAAATCCTTTAGTGTTTGCAACACTTCACTCCTGCAGCTGCTGACACAGACACAGGCTCATACAGGAGTTTAATGTGGCGCTGAGTGAAGAAAAAAAAAGAACAACTTCTACAACAAATTCTGAGTGGGACTCAGCACTTCAGTATTTATTTGCATATAGAGCATGTCACAGTTTTGTTTTCACATCATAGTTCTCTGTCCTCTCCTCTGCCTCTAATCACGCAATGCATGATGGTATTTATTGCCTTGTTCCACACTTCTTTTCATGATGCATTATTGGATACAGAGAGTTAGGTATAGTATTTCATTCAGATTCATAATAAACAGGTCTGTCACAATAACACATTTTGCTGGATGATTTATTGTCCCGGAAATTATAACATCATTTTGAGACAATTTTGATACCACTGATATGACAACATAGGAGCATAATAATGCAAGTACAAGCTTTCAAAGTGCAATAAACTTTTATTTTTTGAGAATATTCAGTGTGTTATTATAAAAATGTGAAACCATCTAAATAAATAAACCACACACAACGAAAACACCAAATAAAAAGGACTCTCCGGCTCTGTTGGTGGTTTGAGTAAAATTTAAATTTGGTACAAAGTATATTTTAACAGCTCGTTAAACTGGATGAGATGGTTACGCTTTAGATGAGTCACACAAACTGACAATGACGTTTTAGTTGTTTATTTAAATGATGCTGGCTAACCACGTCTGAGTGCAACTTCACTCTTGCAGCCAGCACCTTCATGGACATTAGGTTCAAAACTTTGCCTTGTCACACTGGAAATGTAGCTTATCAGTCGGAGACGCAAACCCTGAGCTATTGTGACACACAGGCAACATCTAGCGATCCCTGTTACTGCATCAACACCCTCGACGATAACAGCTTCATCAGTGTCACAAGGGTCTTTCTACACTGCCGGGGTGAGCTGCGTGGCTAAGCTGCGTCGAGCAGCATGACACTGCTCCTCTGTCCTCTGCAACAATGAAGTTAAAAGTGTGTGTGTGTCTGTTGGTCTCCGCTGCTCTTCACACTCAACATGACGAGCATATTTATTAAGCTATTAATTAACGGTGCTGGATCATGAATCAGGATTGCTCCCATCACTTTAACCCTGATGTCACGGCTGTGCGTGTCACACCTTATCACKTGTTGTGTGTCGCAGGTGTGTTTTAATACGTGTCTCATAAACTCTAGAGCAAATCCAAAAAACTAAAAGTAAAGTTCAGTCCTGATCAGGTCATAATAACTTCTGATTACCGTTTATTTTGAATGTGGAAAGAGAGCGCAGGTCACATACAGCAGGGTAATAGAGCATTGTACGAGGATACAGGCCTTATTACTTGTTTCTGCCCTGATCCAGATGTTGAGGTGTTCTGGTATTTATTTGAGTACATAGCCCGACTTTTACTGAGGAAATACAGTCCTTACACCAGAAAACTCATATTGAAAAACCGCTGCAGACACACAGCAAAAACTACCCATATGAACAACAGGAATGTTTCACGTCAATAACTTTGTTTTCATAAACCTTGGAAGCCGTAATCGTAACTGAAATTCAATGAATCGCCCTGCCCTGCCAGACATCGTCCAAAGGGGTTGTGTACGTGACAGTCTCCGCACTTTCTGCAGACCATCTCCAGCCAGTCCCCAAGTAAAGAGTCAGCACACTGTCCGAAGGTGCTGATGTGAGAAAACTGCAGGAGACAGTGCCAGTGTGTTGGGGAAATATCTGACGCGCAACAGAACACAACAAAACAAACACAAAGAAACCAAATATCTCAGGATGAAAAAACGGAGCCACACAGGAAGAGATGTCAAGAGGCTTCTGGTGATAAGAGCCGACGCCGGTGTTGATGTGCTGTGAACAAAAACATGCGATCTCTGCAACGGCATCGATATGTTACATCCTGCTTCTGCACCACCCTCCACCAGAACACTGGAGATGTGTGTGTTGTTGTGAACACGAGAATCTCCTGCTGCATTGTTCATGTGTGGAAGGCAAACCAGAGAACATCCAGACCCAGTTCTCCAAACATACTCCGGAGGGGATGTTTGAAAACCGCTTCAGTCAGCGAATCTGCTTAAAGCTAAAAAATGCCAACATGGTTTCTTTCCCTGAACGTTAGAAATATAACCTTTTTTGCCCAAACATTGCTGAGGACGTGTTCAATGTTCTTTACAGATTCTAACTCGTTAAAAAGATAACTTGCTCTTTTGCTTACTCTTAAGAATATAAGGAAATCTTTATAAATAATCTAATTAAGTCAGTAAAATGCTGACATCTGTCTGTTTAGATTTTAGCCCTAAAGAAATAGTTGAATGTGTAGAAAGAAGATCACGATGAAGAAACAGCGAATGATTGTGTATATTTTATGTTGTTGGTATTTTATCTTTATTTGTACACTATGGTATTTCTAATAGTTTGTACTACAGGCTGTCATGTGATTTGTGTAATACAATAAGTTTGGTGACGCCCATCTCTTAAACACGATCATCCATCTCCTGCTCGGCATCGCTCGGGTTTTTCCGGCTCCAGGGAGCAGGCACTGACCTGCTCGGTGCAGCCTGACTTCGGGCTTCAACACGGCATCGAGCAGCCTCCTCTGGCGGCAGATCTCCCGCTCTGACCGCTCCACTCTGTCTTCGTACTCCGCCACGGTTTCCTCGAACAGGCCGACGATCTCCTCCGCCGCCGCCGTCAGCCGCTCGATGAGCAGCGGCCTCAGCATCAGGACCCGAGCCGCTTCCGGCCCTTTGTCCGCCTGCAGCAGGAAGTCTTCAGCCGCGGCGTTGATCCGCTCGTGTACGGACACCCGCATCAGCTGCACGGCGCACATCGTCCCGTTGTTTTTCGCAGTTCGAGTCCCAGAGCAAACAAAGAGTCAGCTGGAGGTAAATACAGACACCGACTTCCGCGTCAACGATAGTTTGCTTCGAGGAGAGCCAAGCGCGGCGAACAGTGACCTCTGCTGGACTGGAGGACAACGTTAGCTGCTGTCAAACCTGTTTAATGAATCACAGTCATGTGATTCCAAGCTTCTGACTGACATTTACCCCGCCCCTTTCTGTGACACCACCCCCCACAAGGTCATGTGATTTCAGTCACATGACTTCATGTTAACTTATAGTTGCAGCCCTGTTTACTTGATTCTGTTAGAACAGGAAATCAAACAGTCTGGAGCTGAGCTGTCCCACTTTACCCACTGTCCCAGATGACCTCAGGCATGGTTTTGTTTGATAATGACTGCATGAAGATTTCTTATGTGTATTTGAGATTTTATTTCTTTTTGCTAACTCAACTGAATAGTTTTTAATTACATTAGTTTCTTTTCAGACAATTGTAATTTTGATTCTTAGATTTTGGGGGGGATCTGCATCAAATTGCACAAACTTATAAATATCATCAAGATCCATGAATTATTCTCTAAGAAATCAAGACAAATGTTGAAGCTGTCTGACCCATATTGCATCAGTCCACCTAGTTTTGTGGTGATCTGTCCGGTAGTTTTTTGCATAACAACCACACATAACTTCCTTACTGGCAGGATTAAAAAAACAGACCTGACTTCTAACAGTGCAGTGAATTCATAACATATTTTTGACACTGTGGGTTATTGTTGTTGAATGACTGTAACTTCTTCCTCAATAATGGCCTGGTCTCTGTGCTAGTACCCACAACTGACCTGTAGAGAGCGCAATAGTACAGAGAATGAAAACAACGCCATGCACGAGTGTAGGGACCAAAACAACAGACTGACAGGTCTGAACTTAGATGAGTAACAGTCAGTGTTTGGTTCATCCTCTGTCCAGTTTATTCAAATGACAAAAGAGCTGCTTTGACTTGTTTTAGACCTCAACTCTTTCTCTGAGCACATTGTTGTCACTTGACTGCGTTTCTCTTCATCCTAAAGGCCTAAATGTCGTTTTTAACTATAATATTTTACATTACAATTCATTTAGCTGATGCTTTTATCCAAAGCAATGAGTGCATCAACCATGATGATACAAATGATGTTAAGTTCACCATCATGTTACATGTAATAACCCTCATGATCTCACCGGAGTTTGGCTTTCACAACAATGCAGCAGCAGATTCTCCGCTCAGACTCACAGATTCCTCCTCAGTGTCCATGTGAGGGGTGGTGCAGCAGGTAGAGGCAGGAAGTAACGTATTGATTCTGCTATGGAGATTGTTTTTATTTACATCACATCAACACCTGCGTCTGCTCTTATCACCAAAACCTTATGACATCTTGGTCAGCGTCTTCTACCTGCCTTTTCATCCTGAGGTAGTTTGTGTTTTACATTTTCCAATCTGCCGCATGTTAGAAAATGTCAGAGTTTTTACGAGGTGGCCGGCTGCAGAAACTCCTGAAGCTCTCAGGCAGACATTAGTGTTCTCACATAGAGCCCCTCCAGATAATGAGGAGCTCAGTACTTGTGTGAGAGCAGCTTAACCGATGTTAGTGAGACTTCCTGATTCAGTGAAGCTTAACTAAGTGAAGCCACATCAGGAGAAGGCAGGAGCCTTTCAAAGTTTCATTCAGCTCATTCAGCTCATGTTGCATTTTGTTTGTATGGATGATATTTTGTCTCTTTATTGAACATGTTGATAAATTCATAACTCTTACTGCTGAATGATTGTCTTATGTTTCCTCTTGTATTTCTTTACCCTTCTAAATGAAAACTGACTTTTCATCAGCATGTTTCTGATTTTATCTGTTTTTTTACATGCAGCTTCTCGCAAAGTATCAGCTTTATTCTGGAATAAGAATAAACAAAACAATGTTATAGTACATAAAAGCTTCAAGCTAATTTGTATGTATCAAGCAGACTTTGCCTGCTCACACTTCCCCACTAATGTACATATACAGCACATGTTAAAATCAGCACGTATGATCCAGGGATGACGACAGCCTGGACACAGGGGTGAGATGTCAATAACTGCACGGATGGAAAACATGGTTGTGCATTCGATAAGCAGTGTTCTCCGCAGAGTCCGTGGGCAAATATCAAAATTGTCAGCAAAACACACTGCACACTGCTTCATATGTGTCAATTTGTCTCTGAGCGAGTGATGTGCGAGCCCAATGAAAAATTCAGCAGCTTATTTGCTGCTGCCTCAGCCGTGTATGAGGGGAATAATAAATAAATCCACAGCAAACGTCTTACGAAGATTTAATGTACATTTATTCTTAACACGTGGAACATATAGTATAAAGATTTCATACTGAATAAATGATATTCATTAAGCCAAAAAAAGGAAAAAAAGAGGAATTTACATCAAGTTTTAGCTACATCATCTGAAATACAAATATGCAGAATCCGCATCACTGGAAAAAAAAAATTAACAAAATAAACAAAATTAAACTGGTTTCTTCATCAAGGTCTAGTTTGTCATTTATGAAGGAGCTCAGATGGAACCGCAGACATGATTCTTGTTATATTCTCTACACCCAGACTGGAGACAAACTGAAACTTGAAGTTGTGTTTGTTGGGGGTGGCGTTGGACAGCAGCTTAACACCCTCCCACCGCCCCCACACCCGGAGCGCGATACGAGCAGAGCGAGGCGCCAAAGGAACGGAGAGGGCGGGCGTCAAGTAATCACATGGCATACTTGATGCGGGGGGGGGGGGCGACTTGAAATTGTCAAAGATTAAAAATGGTGAAGAGCAACAGAAGTTGAGAAAGAGAGAGAAGTGTAATGTACAACATCATATATACACTGCAGCTCGGACTGCATCTAGAGTTGAGGACCAGTCCTTAAGAGGTGACTTTTTAATATAAGGGTCAAGTCATACAATCAAGGGACAAAGAGAAGAGGTCGGGGTGTTGTAGGTTCACCATACTTTGGGGGGAAAGCCGTTTTCTCTCTCGACATTAACTAAAACTGTTTTTAAAAACTACAGTTTGCTGCCAAGCCAGCGTATCTCAGTGTGAAACAGTATTATTACAGTATGTTTACAGTTTTTAAGGTGTACAGTACAGAAAAAAGTCCTACAATCTACTGCACAGGCCTCCCATGACAGATGTCTGTTCACAGCCAATAATGTGGTTCCTGTGGGGCTGAGTATATAGCATCCAAAGTTACAGCAATTATACCACACCACAGTCCGTGAGTCTATGTAGCCTCCAAACACGAACCATAATATTGTTAAGTCTGTGCCCTCCTCTCCCTGCCGACCCCCAGAGGGAGGAAGCGAGCACACGTATCCCCCAAACTCACTGTAAACGAGACAGCAACTTTGGTTACAGTTTATTCTTTTTTTTCTGGAGATTTTTCTTTTCATTAAAAAAACAAGTCCTTTTCGCAGGGCAGCGCACTCCTGTCCTATGCCTGGGTCCCAATCTGATCTTCTTTGCCAGTATCTTTCCATTTCAGACGTTTAAAATCCACAGCTACTTCATGATATTCCTTCCTTTAGTGAGAAGCAGGGGTAGAAAGACAGTGGAATCCGAGGTGATTTTGCATAAAWAAAAAAAAAAAAGACAGTCAGTTTTGCTCTTTTCATTCTCGCTCAGCAGACATACGCACACACATACACACAAAAAAAGGGGGGTGAGGGGAACAGAAAGAGGCAGAGCTGAAACCTCTCCACGGCTGTCATGACTGGCCAATCAGAAATAGTACGTCACAGATCACTTGGGACACCAGAGAGTTCATAAGTGGGGACACTGAGATGTCCAGTAGTCGCGACTCGTACAACGTGAACTCCGAGTGGTTTTCCTCTACTTTCGCAAGGGCGTGCAGGGCTCGGGCCGCCCGCCGCATCATGTCCACGCTGGTGGGCTCAAACTGGGGCGCGCCCTGCATTTGTAGCAAGGAGCTCTGGCTCTGCTGGTACTGCGTGGCAGCTAGGCTGTCCTCCAAGAAGCCCAGCAGGTTACCTACGCTGGCTTTCTGCACAGCAATAGCCCGAGCAGCCATGCTGTCACCCTGGGCAAGATTCGCCAACAGGACGACCGCCATTTCCCGGCAGACGGCCACCTTGCGCTCACCGACCAGACGCACCAGTGAGCCGTAGAGTTTCTCTAAGCGGCTGAACGGCGGTGTTGCGAGAATGAGGTCAACGTTGTTGTCCTGGATGCTGAGCTTGCTGAGGGTCTCGAGAACCAGTCTCTGGGGGGAAAGTGAGCCGTGGGGCCCCAGCGTGGGGAAAGGGTCCAGGGCCTCTGCTGAGGGGCAGACAGCCCAATGGAGCAGGCCATCCAGCAGCGGCAGGCATATACTCTCTGGGTAGATAGAAAGGTCCAGCTGTCCTGAGATGTTTGCAAGAGTGACCAAACAGTTCTCCCTTAACACCTCGAGGCAGTCCCACCACCACTCGTCTCTCTCGCAGCTCACACCCTCATCTACCTCCTCCTCCTTCTCGTAGGTGACCGGTGCTTGTTTGCGTTCGGGGTGCCTGTGGTGGAGCAGCACCAGGCGGCCCAGCAGCAGCAGGAGGCCTGGGTGTTTTGACATCTCCAAATCGTTACCTGGGACGAAGGACAGACTGCGCACTATGTTGGAGATGCAGATGCAGCGCCGAGCTAGCGAGTCCTGCCAGTCCGACAGAGTGCTGAGTGGCGTCTCATCTTTGCTGTGAGGCTCGTCCTCCAGGATCTTCACGTTACGGCGGCTCTGGAAGTCCGGGTTGATGCTGAACAGGTACTTGCCGTTTTCTTTCTGCTCCTCTACACCTCCACGAACTACTTCCTCTGTGACCGACCCCGGACGGGCAGATAGTACATCATCAATGGTGGCAGTGACTGGAATCGGAAGTGGAGGAGTGGTCTTCTCTGCTAGAGACTTCTGAGGTTCAGAGGACTGGGTTGGCTGCTGCCGAGGTTTATCTTCCTCATTGGACTTGGATTTCTCAGGATTTTCTGTTGCCATCTCTAGAAGCTGTACCTTCTTACGGCTATCAGCTGTTTGCAAGTGTTTCCGTTGCTTGAGGAGTTCCATCCTACTCTCAAAGTGGGTCTGGATGTGTTCGGTAGTGTCCCCCCCACCAATACTCCAGTGTATCAAGCCGCTGTCAAAGCTCTGCCGCTGCCCAAGCTTGGATGAGTGGTTCAGCAGGAAGGGATTTTTCTTCCGAACGACCTTGATGGGGAGTTTATCAAACTTGCTAGCCTGCTTGGGCTTTTCCGAGTGGAGGTTGGGGTCCACGGAGGACCCTGAGGTAGAGGTACTGGGTTCCTTGATAGAAGGCTTCCTTTCCTTCTCCTCCTCCTCGTCCTCTGAAGACTTGTCTTTCTGGGAGCTCTCCTCCTCCAGTTTCACCTGGACTGGTGAGGAGGTGTCAGGGTTGGCCTTTGATTCCTTTACCTCCTCATCCTCTTCGTCTTCTTCATCCGTGTCCATGTCCTCACCCTCTGACATGGGGATTTCATCATCAGAGTCCTCCGCAGCATTGGGGTCTATGAGGGTGCGCTGGCCGGGGTCCCCTACTTCGTACTCCTTTAAGATGCCGAAGATCTCGATGAGGCAGCGTCTAAAGTACTCAACCACCAACTCCAGGAATCCAGGAAGCTGTGAAATAAAACAGGACAGTCAGTAAAATAAGCTTCTGAACTCAGACACAGTGCAACAAGAAAAGTGTTTTTTTGCACAACAGATATGACATGCTACTTACCGAGCACAAGTTAAATGTAGAAATGCTGTTGTCATCATACAACAGAATGTTAATGGTGTCCAAGGCCCATGTGCTTTCAGCTAGTAAGCCTGACTTAAGTGACATCATCACTCTCCAAGCCTCAGGAGTGCCTGTGTTAAGAGACAAACAGAAAGCAGGTTCACTGATCTGTACCATTAAGTTTGATTCCAAATACATAATTGATAAAAACTTCCAAATAAGATGACTGCATCATGATTTGCTGAAATACTCATGGGAAAGACACATGCATTATGGGATATGTAGTTCGGTTGGTTAGCACTTTTAGCTGCAAAAAAGTTTTTAAAGAAGCAGTTCAGACAATGGCTGACAATCTAAGCGGGGGGGATATTGAAGCAGATTACAGCATATTTATTTTAATCAGACAATGTTCCTGCGGACTCACTGACCAAGACTCTCTCGAAAAGAGACAAGAGGAGGAAGAAAGGACGGATCTCGGAGAGTTTGCCGGATTTATATTGTTTCACAATGTTTAAGCTATTTAATGCCTTTTTAATTTCATATCTGTATTTCCTCAGAGGTTGAGAAGTAAATGTTTTCGTAAATGTTGGCAACTTGGTAAGCTCTTCAGAAAACCCTCAGATTGTAGGAGGTCATTTATAAAAAAGATACTTTACAGTGCGTTTTCATTCAGCGCCTTAGAAACAAACACAGCCCTGTAGACTCTGGCTAAACTATTCTCAATTAGCAGTTGTTGAGTCAGTAACATTTTACATATTCTGTGAAACTGTCACAGAAGAGTTCATGTTCAAACAGTAACATGTTGTACAGTAACATTTTGCTCTTGTCACCAATTCCAGGTGGTTTAATACATGTACATATTTGGGAAGTATTGAGTGAGGCTTATTGTGTACCTATGTCTTTTATGGTGAGCCGCCTGCGGGGTTTAAGGTGAGGTTGGGAGGCCTCAATAGAGCCTGGAGGGAAGGCCACGTCCCGCCTGATCATGGGTTGCTGTACGGGGGCCTGGCCAATGTGGGAGGCAGGTACTGGAGGTCCGGCTTTCTGCACCTTAATGCCCGGATGCATGTAAGGGGACTTGCTGGGTGATGTCCTGCTTTCCATTGCCCGGGGCATGGGCGCTGGACTTGACACTTGAGGAATGTGGTTCTGGGAAGTCTGGTAGGTGGATGGCAGGGGTCTGGTCATGGGAGGTCCAGAACCTCCAGGGCCAAATGGTGGCTGCCGCTGGTTTACGTGTCCAGGCCACTGGCCCTCGTGGTTCATGCGTTGGTCTGATGGCATCATCTCCTCCGAGCGGTTCATGCCATGGTAGCCGGGGCCCTGGCCAGGTACAGGAGGTCCCTGTCGGTTGGGATAGTTAGGGTATCCCATCTCAGTGCGACCCTGCCACATTGGTCCTTGGGGGCCATCGGGACCTGAAGGCATGGGACTCGTCATCATCTGGGGAGGCATTGGAGACTGAGAGTTGGGGCCTGCAGATGATGGTCCTCTTTCCCGACCAAAGGGGAAGGGGAACTGGCTCTGTGGCCCTGGTGGTCTTCGTTCACCTCCAGGATACGCATTATACTGGTTATACATGTCCTGTTGGCCCTGGGGCCCCGATGGTTGTGGCCCTGGCTGCTGCTGACCACTGTAGGGGACACTGTACATTTCACCCTCATGTCGCTTGGCAGGAGGTCCATACCCTCCGTCTACAGGACGCTTGTAGTTCTGTCAGTAGAAAACATCCAGCGTTAACAATGGATCATCTCAAAACATTTTAAATAACAATAATACTTTCATATGTTTAACAAAATGAAACCACAGGTACTCAAGTCTACCAATAATAAAAGATAATTTTATTTAATTGGTGAAATGTAAAAAAGAGGGAATTGAGTTGAAATAAGAGTTTTTGGGAACACAGAACAAAACGTTCTCACCGGTTGTTGCTGTGGATACATTCCTGGCTGTTGATTTGGGTATGGGCCACCAGGGGGAGCCCCTTGGCCAGGGTACTGATTGGTATAGGACTCATGCCTGAGAACAGTAACAAAAAGGTTCACACCGTTTTTCTTCAGACAGCTTTAGTATACAATTCACATGCTTATAATCCTGCATTATTTTAAAACCGTTACACTGGCACATGCCTTTTCCATCTTCCTCCGAATACAGACCAGTCTAAACATTAGATGGTACTGACCGTTGCTGTGGTGGAGGGCGGCTGGGTGAATACATCCCTGTGTCGGCTCCAGAAGGCATCATGTTGGGCTGAGGAGCTCCTGGTCCCATGCTGCCATCAGGGCCCATGCCTGGCTCCTGTCTGTAAACACAACAAACAACAATCATAAATTGATAGGACTTAAATAGACAAAAAAAGGCCACTGGGACTTAATAACCACTTATCTGTATGTTTGACAGATACATTTAATAAAATTTGCTTACCTTCGGTCATATCCGTATGCGTACTGTTGCCTCTGGCCCATCTGCATGTTGCCCATGGGGCCTGGTGGGCCTCTGTTATACTGCTCTCCCATCCCACTGTTGGGTCCAGGCGACATGAACTGCTCTCCAGCTTAAAAACAGAAAAACACAGAATGTTGGTTCCTGTACCAACAGAAGTCCTGAATCATCTCATTTGCTGGTTTTGGCTGACGCTCACCTTTCCTCATGCCACCGAAGGGGTCCTTGTTGGACTCGTAGGGACCCATTCGCCCCATCATCTCTGGGCCGCCCATCCCAGGCTGGTAACCCTGAGAGTTGGGAGTCATGGCGTTTCTTCTGGAAAATGCTGGGTCGCCACCATCAGCAAAAGGGTCTTGTAAATTCACGCTACTCCTGTAGGAGGGCAGGAAGCTTGTCAGCAGAATGTTGATGTTGAATTCTTTGGTTCATATTGTTCAAATTTTGATTTTCTAGTATTTTCAAGCCACTTTGTTTTAAATTCTTGTTAATTTCTTTTTTTGAATGATTTTATGTGAACTGATACAAGTTCAAGAAAATTAGAAATAACAGGGCTTAAATAAATATTGTGTTGCATTAAGGCACTTTTACAAAGAAGTTTTTCCATCAATGCGTTCAATAGATGTGCCATGAATATGTCTACGTTTACAGATCAATGCACATATTTGATAAACTTTTAATTTCTGAGTCACTTATTCTACTCTTTATTTATAATAACTAAACAAGCTTATTAGATGTTTCATTTCCTGAACAATGTAGAAAAATGATTCTGTGGCTGCTGTATCATACCTGACGCCAGGCATTGGAGGCATTTGTGTGTGTGGAGTGGACGCCGGAGTGGGGGGCTTCAGGTCTCCCCCCTCCGCCATCGAACTACTGGTGGACTGAGGAGTTTGGGGCCCTTGCAGGGATCCAGAACCAGCTGCGAAGCAAGGATAGATATGATGAATACCAGGAAACGAATATCAAGTTCACCAGTTTGTAAAATTTTAATAATTCAAAGAACAACAGGCCTCTCTCACTCTCCTCACTCTAGGCATAAAGGCCAGAGTTGATAGTCAGGCTGAATAGTGTTGTGGATAGGCTAAACAGTGCCGGGGTGCTTCAAGAACGCATGCTGCTTTTGGCAATCCTAAATCCCATTAAAAAATTCCTGAGTGCTGCACAGAGGAACACAGTTTGTGTTGAGCTGTCGGGCTTTTGAGTGCACAGCCAGCAAAAATGTTGAATCCTCCAGCTCAATGCAGCACGCCAAACCCTTCACCCCCACATCACCCCCCCGCTCTCCTAACATCCACCGCTGGGCTCTCTCCGAGTCACTGGGAAAACAATGATCTAAAATCCTGACTCTGACAGATTACTGCCCGGCCTGCAGACAGGAGACACCCAGTGTGTGTGTGTGTGTGTGTGTGTGTGTGTGTGTGTGTGTGTGTGTGTGTGTGTGTGTGTCATAAGATATGACCAATGGTTAGAATCCACATGAACAAGACAGCAAGAGTTTTGCTGTATGGACACATTCACAACAGCATCTAATCCTCCGCATTATTCAGGTGAAAGGTAGAGCAGCCGGGGGCAGGAAGTGACGTATT